TATTGTGTCTTAGATTTGCGTTTGGAAAGAAAGAAAAATGGTAGATACGCATGAGAAAACTCGACTCTAAAAGGTGCATGAGCCTGCAAACTCTTATAGTACCGATTGATTAATATCATAAATCTGTCATCCTCAAGTGACACCCAACCGTGCGAAATAAAATATGGCTAGAAATCGGCTCGTCCCATTAGAACAGGACGTCGTGCTCTGAGAGCGGCGGATGAACGCCGAGAGAAAACGACCGATGACCTGCATGACGTTGGCGAATGGAATCCTGCGTCGCTTTCCAAACACTGGACTCCGCCGGCCTTCGCGTTGTCATCCCACAACGCAGCATCAACTTGTCGGAGCTGAGAAATATTCCTTTCGCCACGAGTGGAAAACTCTTGCCCAAACCAAGACGTATCCAAGATGGTGTGTCTCAAGGATCACTACTTTCTCTTCCTTGTAAATGAACGGTAGCTTACCGAACCGGACTCCGCTAATACATTTTCATTATCACGATAAAACAGGTAACAAATGTTCGAATTCAAGGCAAAAACGCTAGTGATCGAATATCTCATTTTCAAAAGTGTCTTTCGAATTATTATTTCCTAAGAAAATTTGTGAAACGTTCATTTATTTTTCATACATGAATAGTTTTAAGATTTTATGTTATACTTAAATATTAATTATATATCTATATTTTACTTTCTAACAGCAAAGTTCTAGTTAAAGTTGTATTTTGTAAAATAGATATTAGGCACTAATATAGGTAGTATTATTACGATGCAATCGCCGATAATCCATTATAACGTAAAATGAAGCTGTTAAAAATGCATATTCATGAAACATTTTGTGACAATAAACTACTCTCAACAATAATCTCTTAAACCATTCTAGATTTCTTAATATTTTCTTCATATTTGTCATTAACAAAGGTTAGATTTAAATTTACAACACTCTAATGAGTTTTGAAAAGTTGTTAAAATCTAAAGTAATATTACTTTGCAAATGAGTTTTTACTTTTTGTATGTTCACACTTGTAAGCTACGAACCAAATAGTTCTCGAGAAATTTGCATCAAATTAGTTTTCTCCTTCAGTATGTCATCGGCGTTAATGAAGTCGATCCTTTCTCTTTGTTGCCCTCTTTACGATGATACGATGGCAACCTCGAGAATGAAAACGCTTTGTTCGTGGTACGGCACGCATAAAAGAACAAGTACCACTCTTGTCAGACGCAAATGATCCATCGTAGTGCGAAACGTAAAGCAAGATGTGTTTTCGCTTTTCATCTCCTTTCGCTTTCGTGCGAAATATCGATCTCTTCTTTCTTTTTCATTTTGTAACTTGACCTCATTTTCTACATTGTCGTTGTGAATGAGGCTAAACATTTAAAGGGTTTTGTGAAAACATAAACTTCCATTTTTCCATTTCACACTCCTTAAATAGCAAATTTGAGGTATTCTTGAGTTATTCGTTGAATCCTCTGCCACAACTTCAACGGTCAAGTAATAAAATTTGATTTATTAATTTGTCCTTCAAATCCTTCTAAAAAACTTCTTTGTGACACATTTAAACCTTTCGGGCAATTACTGCAGAGATAGGAAATTCACGATGTGAATAAAACATTAAAGAACATTCTCATTATATAGATTGCGATACTAACATACATTTTGAATTGATCATTGTACCAAAAAACTAAAGTAGGAGTCGTAAAAACATGTTTACTGTGTACATTTTATTCCCAGTGATTCTGCTTCTTGATGTTATTAAACATAATGCGAATTGTATCTCATATGTTGAACAATGCAACTGAGACATGCCATGCAGAAAGACAATGCAAGAGCCTTCAAAGGACAAATAACGCGTCTTATTGAAAAAGCGGGAGTTGAAGGTGAAAGTAAGATTTCAGAACTTTCAGAATTAATGAACGTAACTCGTACAATGTGTGATAAGAAATACAAAAAA